AACAAAGATTAATAACTTCTGTAGCAAATGTAGCTATTGCTCATTGTGAATGTTAATGCATTAACTAAGGTTAACTAATGAGGTCTTATTGTAAAGTGATACCTATTGGTCTTTATAGTTCTTTTGCACTTGAATCTGTGTAAAACTTTTAACTTTATACATTTTTCTGTATTGCTTTATAGCATTTAAATGTTCAGTTATTTTTGTTATAAGAAAAAAGTTATTAAACCTGTTTAATGCACTTTTTTTAAACTAAATTTAAATATCGTGATAATACCGCATACCGTGATAAAAAGCATTAGCAATTAATCGCAAAATGAAAATTTGATACCGGCATATCCCTAGTATATATATATATATATATTTGAAGTTGTAAATAAAACTGATTATTATCAAGTAGTATCAAGTTTGTTTTACTTAATAGTTCCCCTTCATCTCTAATCACACATTTCTAATGTTTATGAGTTGATTTGTCAAAGTTGTGTTCTTACCATAATGAGGCCGGTGGTGATAGACTCTGAGCAGCCGTAGCATTGCTCCCCAAATCGCGAGCAGTAATCTTTCTTACAGAAGAACTGTCCATCTCTTTCATAGTACAAGTGAGAAACAACAGAATTACATTCACAACACCTAACAAAAAGAGAGAGAGAGATAGGAAAAAATTACATGTAATTTACATAAAATTACATATATAATTTATATTGTATTATTACGCGGCTCTGTGGAATACTTGATTCTGATTGGTCAAACGCGCCATCCAGCGGTATGTTGCTCCCACGTAACAACCGCCAAATTGAATAACACACCGCTCATCCGGGTACTGCGAGTTATCTTGACCGGTACTACTTATATGCTTAACAAGTCACTCCGCTATCGTTGACTGTCTGGCGCCATCTTGTGACTGAAAACACTTAACCACCGCGTTAAGACTTCAGCATTAATTTCAACAAATATGGTAAAAACAACTATTTAATGTAATTAGTGATACGACTGTACATTATGCCTTAAATGCTCGTATTGTCTGACTTCAAAAGGCTCAAAGCAGTTTGTTAGGAACTGTTTTTCTTCGCGGAAGCTTTCCGTAAGAGCTAATAAAATATTTCAACTCAAGTCAATATTTCGTGTCTAATTTACTTGAGACAAGTAGCCGTGTAATAAGCGGGATAATGTATATCCAGCCGGTTGTTATTTCAGAATAAACCCCTTCAGGCTGATATAAGACCCCACCGCTTTGCGTCGGGGTCCTGATCACCCTGTCGGGGTTTATTCTGACTGAGATAACAACCGGCTGGATGTACAGGTGCATCTCAATAAATTAGAATGTCGTGAAAAAGTTCATTTATTTCAGTAATTCAACTCAAATTGTGAAACTCGTATATTAAATAAATTCAATGCACACAGACTGAAGTAGTTTAAGTCTTTGGTTCTTTTAATTGTGATGATTTTGGCTCACATTTAACAAAAACCCACCAATTCACTATCTCAACAAATTAGAATACTTCATAAGACCAATAAAAAATTTTTTTTTAGTGAATTGTTGGCCTTCTGGAAAGTATGTTAATTTACTGGTTTTGAGTTGATTAGCTGATTGGCATGTCACCATATTCTAATTTGTTGAGATAGTGAATTGGTGGGTTTTTGTTAAATGTGAGCCAAAATCATCACAATTAAAATAACCAAAGACTTAAACTACTTCAGTCTGTGTGCATTGAATTTATTTAATACACGAGTTTCACAATTTGAGTTGAATTACTGAAATAAATGAACTTTTCCACGACATTCTAATTTATTGAGATGCACCTGTACATTATCCCTTACATAACAACCGGTACTAAAAGCTAATAACACAGGCTCATCCGGGTAACAGCAGTCGGCGCTGTACTCTTGCTTAAACTATTTTTTCTTGGTGGAAGCTTTGCATTTGTTTAGTTAATAAAATATTAAAACGCGATTCAAAATGGTGTACAATTATTTAATTATGTCATCCTGGTATCGCGGACTCTCTCTCGTTTCATACAAACGCTGCTGCTGCCATTTTGCTACGATTGTTTTGTACGCTGTAATGGATTATAAGAGAACTAACAAACTTTTAAAACATTTTCGTCTTAATTCTTTTATTGCCTTAATTATTTTTGTGGTGAAATGTTGTGTAATAAGTGGTTTGACTGCACCGTTTCCCTTAAATGTCCATCTAGTTTGAATTTGCCGCTTGCTAGCAACTGCTGTCTTCACGGAAGGTTTGCGTTCAAATATTTCAACTCAAATCAATATTTTGCGTCTAATTATTTACTTATGTGGCAAGTAGCCATGTAATAAGTGGAATAATGTACATCCAGCCGGTTGTTATCTCAGAATAAACCCCTTCAGGCTGATACAAGACGTGAAGGGGTTTATTCTGAGATAACAACCGGCTGGATGTACATTATCCCTTACTTATATTTATTGCAGATTTCACAAAAGTCAAAGGGGGGTTAGGGCTGCACGATTAATCGAATGTGATTGTCATGCGCATTTTGTTAAAAAAGCCGCGGGGCGTATTTGGAGTTTCAGCACGAGAGCGTCCTCTGGCTTTTGGATGGAGATTTACTGCTGATCACAGAACCGTGCTTCACTGAAAGATACGCATGACAATCGCAGCTTCTGTCGAATCGCGATCTCGATTCCATTTCGATTTATCGTGCAGCCCTAAGGGGGGTTTTGGGCTAAGTTCATCACTTCAACAAATGTACTATGTCATGTATCAGATCAGATCCTTAACTACTGTTAGAGTAAGATTCAGCTGGAGTGAGTAAAATAAAACGCGAGAGCCAGGGTAGTTTTCTATCTTGCTGCGTCTGAGCAGGATGCCTGTTATCTGCTCTTCCATCCTTCCATTCAATAAAATACAGCACTCTCATGAAAACACATGCACATTATACACAAACACACTCGTGTACACACATACACACACATACATTATGTAGTCTTAAACACTAGCAAACAATGCAGAAAAGCAGAATAACAAGAAAGTGTTGCTCAATGCAGTGGTTGTTGGTGAAAGTATAGTATTGTACAATGCTGTGGAAAGTACAGTATTGTACTTCATTACTATAAGTATTATTTTGGAAAATTTGAGCTTTACTTGAGTGTTATTGAAACTGAATACTTGCACTTTTACTCAAATTACATTTAAAAACTATGGTTTTTACTCATTACAACATCATATGACTTCTAGTCTTTTTGCAGGACTTTATTACTATAACCCTTTCTCACGTTAAATAAATAACTAAATGGATGGATGGATAACTAAAATGAATAAATAAATATCAACTATCAAATCTGAACACATTTCATTTTCTGAATGAAATCAATTTCAGTAAACTGTAGCTGGCCAACTAGGTTCATTCATTCTTAACAAACTTGAGTTATTTATAAACAAATAAATATTAAACTGTACACAATAATAAAATAATCTGCTTCAGAATAAAAAGTTTAACATTTGGTAAATTGCGACTGAACTTGTTTCTTTAAAAGGTTTGATCATCTGTCAAAGCATAATTTGAGCATAATGTCAAAGTCTCTTCAACAGTTTATTTTAAAAGTTAAACAGCCGCCCCTCGTCTAACGAGCAGTTCGATCTTTTTAGGCAGATCAGAGGAGAATGCTGTCAGTGATGATTCCATATCACTGACAGCTTCAGATTTGGAGGATCGGGCATGCTCCAGGGAGGACCCTAACACCCTTCTCCCCAATGGGTTATTATGGCCTGGTGGAGAGAGAACTGATTCGCATCCTCACCAGGCTGTGGAGAATCTCAGCTTAGAATGGTTGGCAATAGAAGAGCCTGCCCATTACCGTTTAGACGAATGATGTCCGCTGGGCTGTCGTCAACGAATCTCTCGCCAGAGACAGATGGCGTTTTTCCCAGAAATTCACAATGAACTCACCAAGGTGTGGCGTGCCCCTACTCGGCACGTGTCCATTTTTATTATTCTGCTGCCCTCATCTCTGTTGACGGCGCTGAAATAAGAGGGTATGGCAAGCTCCACCCCCCAAGAAGAGGCAGTCGCTGCACACCTCTACCCGCCATCTGCCTGGCAAATTTGCAAAGAGATTCACTGCAGCACAGAATTCATCGCAGGTCATGCGTCACTTCCTGCCTAAGCGCTCCAGCCCCCAAGAATGAGGCTGCTCACCCCAGTTCACTCTCAGGCCACCTCGCTTCAGAGGCATTATTCAAACTTCGGTACAGGCAACAATGCTTATGTTCTCCAGTCTGAAGTGCAAAGTCTGCTTGCAAAAGGAACGGTGGAAACGGTTCCTCTAGCGAACAGCGAGTCAGGTTTTTACATCTGCTACTTCCTCATTCCCAAGAAATATGGCTGGCCCAGGCATCTGAACTGTGGGGTTATGAGAAGTGCATGGACGTGGCTCTTTCCGCTGAGACAGATGGGATTCCGCATTGTGAATTACCTATACGATTGGCTGGTCTTAGCCAGGTCTGAACAGGAACTCACAGGTCAATGTGTCAGGAGCGACTTGGGCTAAAATTCTATTTAGCCAAGAGCTTTCTGTCTCCCAGCCAGTGAGTAGTCTTTTTGGGGACAGTTATTGATTCTGCCTAGATGCGGGCATAGATTACGCCGGAATGCTCCCTGACAATTCAGAGGCTAGCTGCCTCATTCAGACTCGGGACTTCATGTCCCCTCAGGGCTTTCCAGAGGATACTTGGCCTCATGTCAGCCGCTTTCTCTGTGATTCCTGTATTGGCTCAAGCCCATGTCCAGTCCCAAGCTTGGCGCCTGGTACGTTTTCATCTCAGGGTTTTTTCAAGCCCTCAAAACCTTCCTACCGGCATTAAAGGGGCACCACGTCCTGGTCCATTCAGACAACATGATGGTGGTAGCCTTTATCAATCACCAAGGCGGTCTCAGGTCACGCTCCCTTCACGGTTAGCTCGACGTCTCCTTTTATGGGCACAAGGCAAACTCCTCTCGTTGAGAGTTGTTCATGTGCCTGGCAGACTGAACCACAGGGCAAACATGCTGTCCAGGGGCAATGTGGCTCCAGGAGAATGGAGGCTTCATCCCCAAATGGTTCAAATGATCTGGTCTGTCTTCGGCATGGCAGAGGTGGACCTCTTCGCCTCAGAAGACAACTTTCACTGCCCAATTTATTTCTCTAAGCTGTGAGATGCCCTGGCCCATGACTGGCCCAGTGCTCGCCTGCAAGCCTTTCCCCAGTTACCCTGCTTCTTCAGGTCATCAGGGAAGTCAGATCCTCTTGTTGGCCCCACTCTGGAGGAATCAGATGTAGGTTCCCCGTTTTGATTCAGCTGCTATCAGCAGCCCTGTGGCCGACACCACTGACAAAGGGCCTTCTCTCGCAAGCAAAGGGCATGATTTGGCATCCCCTGTCAGAGCTGTGGAGCCTTCATGTTTGGCCCCTCGATGGGAGCCTTTATAGCACCCTGCGAGTTAAACTAACACCATTTAACTAACACCATATAAGTAGCCTACCAGATATGGGTGTCATGTCATTAAATATTTTTTATAAGATTAAATTTGTATTTAACGGGAGCTCAATTAAATAAAACAATTTAAGTTACTAATTAAAATCCTTTCATTTCCATGGTTATACAAACAGCGAAT